CGATGGCCTCCAACCTAAGAGCGATGGCCTCCAACCTAAGAGCGATGGCCTCCAACCTAAGAGCGATGGCCTCCAACCTAAGAGCGATGGCCTCCACCTAAGAGCGATGGCCTCCAACCTAAGAGCGATGGCCTCCAACCTAAGAGCGATGGCCTCCATTTCTCCGTTTCTCCGAAGGGATCAGGCGCCGCGGCTTATGGCGGGGGCAACCTTGGCCCGAGTGGGAGCAAGCTAGCTACAGCTGCAGGTCGAAAAGGTCTCGTCCAGTGAGGAGGACTGCCTTGAACTGGCCAATGTGATCCTCTATGTTTCTCAAGCGGTCTGGTGCAATGCGCAGACAAACGCAATGTGCCCAGAACACCACCAATCGTGTTGTTGGGCGGACATAAGAGGAGTGAAGCGGGATATTTTCAAGCTTGTGCACTCTTATCAAAAACAATCGAAACCATTTGATTCTGTCAACAAGCTCGAACTGTCGTGCCTCATCTTTGGTAAGCCAGTGCCATCGTGTATATTTATGTGTGGCTCGAATCCCTCCACTGCCAGTGTGGAGAACGAAATCTATTAGCAAGAAAAACCATGGTACGTACACAGCGTCTGCTGTGGGGAGATGCAAGCTTTGGGACCAGGTGCTCAGGAGAGACCAACCCTCTCCCACAAATTTATGGGTGCATGTTTGTGGCAGCGGGGGCAAGGGCGCCCAAGTGGTCTCCTGAATCGGTAGTGGGAAGGCGGTTTGTGGTGGATCGTCTGCCCTTGGGGGCAAGTCTTTCTTGACCGCGACTTCACTCACCCTTAGCATGTTCTCATGTGTTTGGTTTCTCAAGATTCGTGCGGCAGCAATGTCATTCGTTGCTTGTTGCCACAGACGATGAAGGGAATTCGGGAACAAAGTGCTCCAGCGTGCACAATTGTCTGCATTATCATTACCTTGAAATGCCCATTTCTCAATCCAACTGGCGTGTGAGCTGTCTTGGTGGCTCGCAATTTTGTGGACCGTGACCAAGTGGCCTTGCAATGTCCTAGCAAGTGCAAAAAGGAGGGTCCACAGATCGAAATCTTTCTTGCCTATTTTGCATTCCGACGGCCTGTGCAGGGCCTCCTGAAGAGTGCTTACGACTTGGGCGTTATCGCACCAAATACGCACGGAACATCCGTGGCGCAAGACAAACCGCAGGGCACTGATGGCCGCTAAGATTTCGGCACGTCCACTTGTTTGGCGTCTGCCTGGAACACGGCCTTGGGCCAGCGGCCACCAGAGATCAGTGTCGTCCGGATGGGCGACAACGATACCCCAGCCTGCTATCCTGGTGAATTGGCAGGTTGGGTTGACACAAGATCCATCCAGAAAGAGATCACGTGGTTGGAATGGCGGCTGTTCAAAGACATCTGTGGTGTCTGGGCAGTTGGCCAATGCCCTATGCAACTCTCGAACTGACCCAGGCAAGCCCATCCATCCATGGTAAGTCAGGCATTTGGGCAGCCCTCCTGCGACAACCTGTGTTGTGAGCCAGGGGTACGGTCTGGCACTGGCAAGAGGGATGCACTCCCAAAATCTGTGGAATTGGGAATCCTGTTGGCCACAGAACTTACATGTTAGGGTATGGGCTTTATCATTATGGACCTGGGAATCGGCCGTGAAAAACGTACCATTAAGGATCTTACGAAGCAATCCCTGCTGATGTGGATTATATGCACGGAAATTTTCGAGGGTGAATCCTGGGTGGACCCACTCCATCCCCTGGAAGGTTTTCCTTTTGGTCAGGCATTGTTGGACGAGATTTTGCCACCCTTCAAGCAATCGGCGATAGACTTCGGCATGCGACCCATGAAGGAGGGCCAACGGCTGGGATTCGTGGTCGAGGACCCAACCCTGTCCTATTCAGCTCCAGCCTATGGAGTGCAAGCGTTCAAGCAGGACATGACATGGGCCTGGTCGTGGCGGAGTATCCCACCTGGCTTCGGTCAGTCGATCGACGATGTCACTCACTCTGTCCGGGCATGCACGGCGACGGAGAGTGAAAACTGTGTCTAACAACATCGCGCATGCTGGGTCTGATGTTGGATGCTCCACAAGTGACAAGTGTGCAATCGGGCTGATGCCGGGGGCGTGAACACGAAGGCCTCGGCAGGCACCTGTACGTAATGTTCTCACGTGG